AGAATTTTTCCTGTCTAGACTGTTTGAAGGACATTTCAGGAATGATAGTTGCCGGACAGTTTTTTTCGCTCTCACACTCCAGAAAGCTGTTGCATTGCTAAGGTTATGCTGTAGGAAGCATGTGTAGGAAGAACTGTTATTTAGTTACAACTACAAATATGTATAGGCTACTTTTTTGTTTGTCGAGACTTTGAGGAAGTCTCGAAAGGGGGGAATGAAGTATATTTAAAAAGGAACTTTTTGATAGAAGAAGGTAAAAACACTCTTAACATTGAGTATAAGCTGATGTCTGAAGTTCCAAGTATCTAGGAGTTCTCTGTGTGCTCTGTTTGTGCAGGGGATAGGAATGTTTGAACCAGGGGGCCCCTCAATTTAAAGGTCCATTGGGAGAAGGCCTCTCACTTTCTCCCTTCTTCTCTTGGTTCCACATAGATGAGATCATTTTAAAAAGAACCATATGTTCTGTCTCCTGCTGTAATGCTGTTTTACTTTGTAATAAATATTTTACTAGCAACACAGTGTCACAGGAGTTGTTCTTCACAACATCTACACATCATCGCCACTTAATAAACAACAACAGGTAGAGCTGTTGTTGCCATCAGTCATTTGTGGACTTGGGCGGCCACTGTAGTTCTGAGGAGCAGCTCCTCCCCTTCCCCTGCACACTAGTTAGCAATTAGCGCCAGTGTATATAGGCACGGCAGCACGCTCTGTGTTTGAGCTGGTCTTTTCACTTCTATTGGCTTATACTGCAGGGCTTTGTTGCTGGGGGATGTTTTGCCTCAAGGTGGTTGCTGAATGCAGGTGTCCTTTTCTCCCTTTCCCGGTTGGCCATGTCGTTGAAGAATGCATCCAGTGTCCAAAGGTACTTTTATTCATTGTTCTCATATGGATGTAGTGCATTTTTGGGTATAACTTTTAAGTAGGAGACTTAAAAAGTATGTGATTAGGTTCTGGTGCAGAGCATGGTCATCTACTACTCCAGACAAGTGATGTGGTCGTAGAGCCTGTTCATTCTTGCTGTCACTGGTAACTTCAGCTTAAAGGTATGTGCACTTCTTAGTGGTGGGATTAAGGTTTCTTCTTTTATTCCACCTTATAATGTGAGTTTTTAGTGTTTATTTTGATTTAAGTGTGTTTTAATTAGGTTCTCCGTTGGAGCGCCGCCATTTGGCCGGCCTAGGTGGCGTCCCACATGCCAAGCATAAAGAGCCTTTTATTGAAGCCGCTGCTGTTTTGTTTTGCCTAGACCAGACCATTTGGGTCACTTTTTCTATATGATTTATTTTCTTTATTTATTTAGTTACTATTTTGATGTTTGAAGTCTTGTTAATTTTCAGTTTATTTTGTTGGTTTATATTGTTAGCTTGTTCTTTATTTTTTTGTTTTGAAAATTAGTGGTTGCTGTTTCTTGCCACCACTAAGTCAATTTGTTGTCTTTATTTACTTTCTTCTGCTGGTTTGATGATTGTTTCTTTCTTTCGATTATGGTTGTATCAGGTATATTGGCTGTAGTGTAAGTGATCTTAAGTGCAGGGTTTGGGCAGTATATAATCTGCCTGCTATTAATTTTGTTTTCTTCTCTTTAGAGCATCTCAGTGCATGTGGTGTCTCTCCTGTTGACTGGTCACCCTCTTGGAGTTTTCCTCTCTCCTTCACCCCTTTTGCACCTAGCTTGCAGTGTTGAAGTCACTATTGTTGAGGTTCAGTAACCTGTGTGTGCGTGTATGTCGTGTGGAGTTTTGGTGTACAGTCTCGGGTGTGTGGAACCAGGTGCTATAAACCTGCACAGCCAGTATACCTAACTGTTCTTTTTCCTTCTCCTTTTTTTCATTTTGTTTCAGTAGTACGTGGAGGACGAGGCCCCAGCTTGAGTGTTTTGATATTCTTTTATATCTATATATAGATTTTAAAATGATGTATTAATAAAGTTGTAACGGTTTTATTGTTGACTGACATGTATTCTCTTTTTAAATACCTAGTAAACATTGTGAATTGAACTCTGTGAATTGAAATTCACGTCTCTTTTAACTTTCGAAACGTACCTGTGTGCTTGTGGGTTTCACTTGCATTAAACTTCCTGGGGTGAAATTCCCTAGGTGGCGTAGTCGAGTCCTTAAATCAATTTAATACCTAAGCAAGGGCCACATCACCAGCGGGGCTCTGTATTTACTGTGTTGATTTTGAGGTTTGCTTTGGATCATAATCCTGGTGGAAACCAAACTATGGCCCAGTTTAAGCTTCCTGGCTGAGGCCGTCAGGTTATGATGTTATTTCTGAGAAACGTAAGTAAACAAAGAATCATCAATGCCTGGGAATTCTGGTGGCTCAGTTTGTGGTATGTAGAATAGACTGTAAACAAGTTTTGTTGTAGTTAGCCTAGCTACATTACATGCTAGCTAGCATGAATAACGTTACTGACTTTGGATTCTGTTTAATGTTGGATGAACCGGTTTGTGACATGTAATGGGGAATTTCTCATAACACTGGAGCTGCCTCTGAAATATCTCTGTTTGGAGGGCCATGTAGCCCTAACGCTTCACCCCACCCCTCTCAAGAAAAATCAAGACCCCAAACGGCATGAACGGCAAAACGGAGGGGTAGGGCTAAGTGATAGGGGAAAATGGGATTGACCATAAATCTACGTTCATGCAGACTAGAATGTTCTGTGTTTGTAATGCATCCAGCACACTGGTAATGCCTCTATGAAGAGTTCTTCAGGTTGGAAATGTTTTGCTTTGGTCTTGTGTGAAAAGTGGAGAAATACAACAGAAGTACAACCAGAACAGCTGTTAATGCCACCAGATGCAAAACGACTAGGCTAGCAGTGATAGCTGGGGGTCACAGACCATTAGCATTTGCCTGTTTAGCTTAAAAAAAACGGACTGCTTTAGTCCATGTACATTTCAAGCTGCATGTCACACAGTTCCAAGTTTTATTTCATATAAAAAAATCCTGTAATGATGTGGAATGAAAGTGTCAGTATAGCCCCAATTTCACAAGACCTCAAAAGTCCAGAAATGAAGGCAGCCTTTTCCATACTGTAAGCTCAGCTCATAGAAGTAGGATAGATGTTGCAATTGATATGAATCCAGTTTTTTTTTTTATCATGACGGTGTGGTGGTTCATTTTACTGAACACAAAACAAGAACTTCCCAATACTGTCACTAAAGCATTTCAGAACAAAAGTTTGGATTTGGATGTTGACTGCAGACACATCAACATACAAAGCCTGACTAAACTAAACTGAAACACAAGACACAGGGATCAGAACAACAACTGACAGGGATAACAGCAGAGTTGAGGACACTGATGACTGGAACAGGGAAGAGGCCCGAGTGAGCGAAGCCAAGACACATTTTAACAGTTTTAAAGAGTATAGGAGATTCTGAAAAGCCCCCAAGAAGCCACACCCCCTTAAATATATCTGACCCAGCCCTGCTTTCACCACATTTCAAACTCTCACATTCACCAACAATGAGGCTGCAAGTCACCCAGCTGCTCGCCTGCGTGCTTTTCCCAAAAGGTATGGAAATAAACTCACAGTACAGTGAGAAAACTTTAGATGCATTTAATTCATTTTAATGAATTAAGTTTTTAATTAGTTTAGCCTCTACAGTGTATTATTAATGAGTCTCTTACATTGGATCTTCTGATCGGTTTGATATTTTTATAGCTGTTATTCATAGTTAAAGTGTGAGGATGTCAGTGAATGAGGCTTGAATGCCTCTTGATGGAATTTTAAGGTAATTTATGAAACACTGTCCACGTTTTGTGGTAAAACTGAGCAAAACTGTGAGCAGTTCATACTGGAGGTTCATTAACTGTGTCTCTATGCACTGAATCTGTTTCTCATGCTGGATTCTCTCTGTCCTCCAGCGCTGACACTGAAATGTTATCACTGTATGCCAGGGGTGTCTGGACAATGCACAGACACCCAGACAGACTGTCCAGATCAGTGCGCCAGCACGACCACTGCTGTGTTCGTAGGTAGGAATGACCTGAAATATAAAATTAATTGAGTGACCATCAGTCATACATAAGTGATATATATGATACACATATTTCTGGCTATGTATGTATGTATGTATAATGCACACTCCTGTACTAAATGAACAAACAAACAAACAAATGGGGCAAGCTCAAAATGTTGTTACAACAAATTAGCAAGAATTAAACAAATGAAACGCAGATATTATTTTCAGGCTCGTCTGTCATTTGTATCAGCTGCAGCTTGAACAGCAGGAATGATATAAGTGCAATGAGAGTCTGCAAAGAGTCAGACGTTAAAACAGGCCGATTATACTGACAACACACAGCGCTGACGTGCTGCTGGAAGAAGAGGAAAGCCAGCTCTATTGATGAATTCCTTCGTTTGACCATAATATGCATTCACACCAGCAGTCAACACCACACCCATCCATCCCTCACACTGACTTTTTTCACTGCTGCCATCTGGCAGAAGGTACCGGAGCATCCGTGCCATCACTGCCAGAACGCCACATCTGGGACATTGCTGTTAATACAGTGTTTACACTTTGTTCACTCTAGTACTGTGTATATCCTACCTCAGTAACTGCTGTGCTCACGTATGTTATCTGACTGCGTATACTCACATATCACAACATGTTAAATACCTCTGCACCTTATTCCACTACGTCATGCTCAGAAATGAGTGCTGTGTCGGTGCTGCACTGTCCTGTCTGTTTACTGTGTCTAATGTCTGTTTTATTTATTGTATTTATTGTATTGTTTCTAGTTTAATTTTTTTATTTTTTTTTGCATTTGTTTCTAGTTTATTTTTTTTCACACTTAAGTCTGCACATTTGCACTTTGTACTGATTATTCTGTTCCTTGTTGCACCGTGTTCCTTGAAGGAATGTAATTTCACTCCACTGTTTACATGTACATCGATGGAATGAGAATAAAAGCTTCTTGACTTGACTTGACTTGACTCTTGATGAAGTGAACAGGGTTCGGTTGGAAGCAGACCGAGACCCATGGGTTTTGTCGGACCGGTTCAGCTGTTTGATGCAGATCCCAAACACGGGTGGAGTGTTCATATATGTCAAAACGGAGAGAACTAAAAAATAAGTTTGATGGGTCCGCACCGAACGAGGTATCGCCCTGAGGAGCTTCTCCATCTGTGACTAACTCGCTGCACTGCTCCCCGCGGCTGCGTTGTCTCAATTTGATGACGTTTAATTAGCCCGCGACTGCGGTGTTTTTATTTGCACGTCTCTATCGGCCCACTGAGAACTACTACCTCCCCCTGAGTACAGGTCCACGGACTGCTAGAGGGTGCTTCAAGGCCCACTGGTGGTCCACGGCCCACAGGTTGAGAAACGCTGCCGTATAGGGTGTAAATCTGGACTCTGATCAGCCCAAAACCACCAATACAAACCATTAGTGTTTTGGATTTGGCCACTTTTTTTGCTGAGAAGTGTACTTATGACTACACATTACATTAAAGCATGTGCTGTGTTCACTAGGTGGTGGACCAGCAGAACTTACTGTGAAGAGCTGTGCAACAGCTGAGCAGTGTGTCACTGGGAGCCTAAACCTGGGACTTCTGAAAATCAACTCGAAATGCTGCAGCACTGATCTCTGCAACAGCAACAAAGCACCAGGTAAAGCCAAACACTCTGAAAACTGTACAAAGGACGCTGATTATGAAGGTTCTCTCTTATTCTGTCTCATTCAAACAGCCCATTTCAGCTAAAGCTGATGTAACAATCAGTAGTGCTGAGACTTCATTATCAGGATGTCCTGTAAGGAGTAGCTCTGGGTTTAGTGTGTTTTGTACTGCAAAACGATGACGCTAAACCTCTTCATTGAACTGTTTCTCTCTTAAGCTTTGTCTCTAAATGGGAAGAAGTGTTACGCCTGTGCTGATGACGACTGCACAAGAACCATGAACTGTGAGGGAGATGAAGATCAGTGCATCAGCGCCAGAGGTGGAAAATATGAAAAATGCACTAGTCTATACATATAAAAAGACATGTTTGGTCTAAAATAAGGGTGTTCAGTGATACAGCGCAAGAAAGTCCCTTTAGTCTGGTTTTGTGGTTTATCTATTTAAATATATTCACAGTCTAACCTCTCTCTCTCTCTCTCTCTGACCTGCATTCACAGTTAGTCTTGGTGGTGTTCAAATGGAAATGAAAGGATGTGCGAGCAGAAGTTTCTGTTCTTCAGAAACATCAAGCATGAAGGCAGCTGGAATCACTGGAAGGGTGAGCTGCTGTGAGGGGGATATGTGTAACAGTACTGAGGGGGTTAAACTGAGTCTCCTCATCATGCTGGTTCCTCTGATCTCCTCCATCCTCTTCATCTGAACTCTCTGCTGCTCAAACACCTTTTTACCATTTTTCTTTTCTATCTTTTGAAACTAACAGAGCTGTGTATTGTAATGTGTCCAAATGCAGAGTCTGAATTGTAATGATGGTTTTGTAATCAAAATAACTTGAATAAACAGAGCGCCGACTGTAAACGGTCCAGAATGTAGTGCATGAGAGTTTTTGTAATCTTCATCCACAAATATCAGTAGTACAAGAGTCACATTGTGTGGATTTTGTGTCATTTAGTGAATAATAAAATAATTAAGAATAATAACATGCTGAAAGAGACTACAAATTCTGTTGGAGACGGTCAGTGAACGTGAGCTATTTTGCAGTGGAAAATTAGGAAAACTATAAAATATGAAGTGAGCAAATTTTGACATTTTTGCATTTTGTCACTTTTTGTCTGGGAAGTAAAATGTGAGCACACAGCTTTTACATGTAGGACACTAAAACCATTTAGAACCCACATGTAAAACACAAGGCCCACAAAATTATTTGAATTTTCTATTAATATTAACGTTGCAATCCCAGCACACACTGCAATGTAATGCGCACTTCTCCTCTCTCCCCCTGCCAGATATATAAACTTTCTGGGGAAAGTTATTATGTTATATTAAACTCATTATATAATGAAGTGATTTTACTGTAGTATTAATAATTAGACTAGCTGCTGTCGGAAGAAAAACTCGTATCTCCATTTTTGATGTTTTTCAGTTTTTGACATAATTTGAAAATATCTTTCACTCTTTACATTGTATGTAGAAAACAAGAAAGAAATGACCCAAAATGACTTGGAAAAAAGTCTGGTTCCATTGACTTACATTAAAAGTAACATAGGTTTTTTCCTTCTCCTGTAAAGTTACCATTTTGGAGATACGAGGTTTTCTTCCGACAACAGCGATATGCTACTTAATAGTGTGTCTGTATTATTTCTGAAACACAAAGATCATATCAGTATCTGTCAATACCTATAAGCTCCGCAGCTTTCCATTCAGTATTCAGAGCTGGAAAACCTACTTCTTTATGTCAGGTGCAGATGTGGGAGTTAATTATATACAATTTACAATCAATGTAAATCAGTCTAAACCAAAGTAAAGAGAGCAGCGCTGTGGGACATTTGTAACAAGACAGACAGCAGAATATAAAAGAACATCAAGCGTCTGAAGTGCAGCTTTGCATGCCAGTCAGTGAACTGCATCAGCATAATCACTCAGAGGATGAAGAGTCTCTTAAGACAGAGTGAGTGAGAAGCGAAAGAGGAACCATTTCTATATAGATACTGAGCTTGGCTTTCACTTTACTTGTTACCACATAAAGTAATATTTTAGGTTGAATTGACAATGTATAAATATATATATATATATATATATATATATATATACCTTAGGATACATATTATTATAGATTGCATTGGTTGTCGCATACAGGAGTTTTTTCAACATTTTATGCAAATGATGCAGATTTCCTGTTATGTACGTTTAGCTATATACATGTCTGTGAGGAGAAGAGCATTGTTGTCGAAATCTCTTGGTCTGCTGAAGCATTAAGAGTTCCTTTCACTGGAACTAAGGGGCCGAGCCCAACTCCTGAAAAACAACCCCACACCATAATCCCCCCTCCACCAAACTTTACACTTGGCACAACGCAGTCAGACAAGTACCGTTCTCCTGGCAACCGCCAAACCCAGACTCGTCCATCGGATTGCCAGACGGAGAAGCGTGATCGGTCACTCCAGAGTCCAGTGGCGGCACTTTACACCAGTGCATTCGACACTTTGCATTGCGTTGGTGATGTAAGGCTTGGATGCAGCTGCTCAGCCATGGAAACCCATTCCATGAAGCTCTCTACTCTGTTCTTGAGCTAATCTGAAGGCCACATGAAGTTTGAAGGTCTGCAGCGACTGACTCTGCAGAAAGTTGGAGACCTCTGTGCACTATGCACCTCAGCATCCGCTGACCCCGCTCTGTCATTTTACATGGCTTACCACATTGTGGCTGAGTTGCTGTCGTTCCCAATCACTGGACTTGTTGCACAGGTGGCATCCTATCACGGTACCATGCTGGAATTCACTGAGCTCCTGAGAGCGACCCATTCTTTCACAAATGTGTGTAGAAGCAGTCTGCATGCCTAGGTGCTTGGTTTATACACCTGTGGCCATGGAAGTGATTGGAACACCTGAATTCAATGATTTGAATTACATATATATATATGTATATGTGGTGTGAGGTATGTGGTGTTGTGTGGTGTGTGGTGTGTTGTGTGGTGTGTGGTGTGTTGTGTGGTGTGCTCTGTGGGGTATGTGGGTTTTTTTATGTGCACAGGAACATTTTGTCTTACTTCTTTCACACGCTAACCACGTGACTCACAAACTAGGGCTGGATCTCACAGTCTCAGGCCAAACCTTCTGAATCTAATAATCATCTCAGGCTAATTTTAAAAATATATAAAAATAAAAAATAAAAATATAATTTTAAAAATATAATTTAAAACAAATTTTAAAAATATATTAGGGTCCAAAAGTATGAGACCACTTTGAAAATCTTTGAAGGTATTCATTAAAACCTGGAAATAAACAACAGAAATTTTAGAATTTTGAACTATTTTAAACCATGAAAACTTAGGACAAGTCAAACGAAAAAGAAGTGTTCAGAATTCTGCACTGTTTCTAACGACACTAAATTCATGACACTGACCACGTTTGTAAAAAAAAAAGTCCAGTTTTTAGTTTTATCACTTCCTTTGTAGCTCCTGTTCAGACGACTCTCAGGTGGATTTGATCTGCTTATCAGAGGCTTTTGCATGACCATGTTGCGTCCATGGCAGGTCAAGTGCACACTGTCATTAAAGCACATATCAATATATATTTCAACTACTGAGGAATTTTGAAATTCATGTTAACATTTCAAAGATGAACGATGTTAAGATGTAATGTTAACATTTCTGCTTTTCACTCAAATTGCTGAGTTGTTGGTGTGATTTGTAAAGAATGACTGTAATAAATTAGAAAAGAATGCAAAACCGAAGCATTTTCACTGTTGCTCTCATACTTTTGGACCCCACTGTGTACATATGGCTTACACAGTCAGACACTGTATGCTGTACAATGTGAGGGACATCTTGTGGTCATATGCTGGTACTTCACCGTAGTATGTTGTGGTAGAAATAACCAGTGCAGTTCATTCTGTACACATGAACTAACTGGAGCGCTGTAGTGATGATATTCAGGTTAAAACATGTCAATACATTCCTGTATTTCAGATAAATACTTGTATGGTCAGTTAATTTATTTTAAAGCTTTGGAAGTTTGGAAGCCATTTTTATTCATTTTTGTAAAATCTCATGTTTCTGAAGTTGAGTGATATGTTAATGTTCAATCTTCATACTGAGAGTCTAAAGCAGAGCTGTTTTTCAACTCCAATTCAACCATATTTATTTGGACAAAGGACCACAGTGGATCTTCTTTTCAACCAGGCATTACATAAACTCACTCTATCCTTAACTGTATTTCCTTGGCTACCATCTGGTTATTTCTCATTAGCATCACTCAAGCTTTGCTGTGTGACCGAAATAAATAAGAGACAGAAACAGAAGCTGAAAACCAAAAGTCATATAAAAACCATAATTTGCTGTTTTATTTGTGCTTTTCTATAATGCTCATGGTTCTTCAGTGGTAATAATCACTATGCTGGGAAAGAAAACTAACAGAGAACTAGAGGCCGAATTTAATTTTAAACAGCTTCCCAAATAACATTCAATATTAAAGTTAAAATACATAGAATCATAAAAATATAAAATTTCAACATCATCTAAATTTAATCTGGTGTTGGGATAAAAATGGAGATACAAGGTTTGACTGACAGTGATGAAATATATATCAGCTGAAACACTGTTCAGAGTTGTGTTCATTTTTTGTAAATTTCATGCTTTACATAGAATCTCAGGCTTAAAATGAATACTAAAAGTATATTTGTACATACAGTGGAGTCCCAGTTCATGAGGACACATTGAAAATCTTGGATTGTTTTCATTCAAACCTGGAAATGAACAACAAAGTTTTAGAAGAAAATAAAATAAAATAAAATAAAGAATAGTTTGTCAGTTTAAATGAAGAAACTGTTTCTAGGTCACTATTCAAAGTTAAGTAATCAAATTTGTGACATTGTTTTCTTATGCTGGTACTACACCTCAGTGTTTCGTGATAGAAATAAGCAGTGCAGTTCAGTCTGTTGACATTCTGTTGTTGTAGTGATGACATTCAGGTTGAAACATATCAATACATTCCTGTATTTTAGATAAACATGTATATGTGAGTATATCAGTACAGTTACTGTAAAGCTTCAGTAGTTTTAGTAGCCATTTGTATTTGTAAAATCTCATGCATTGTTTCTGAATTTGAGTGATGTGTTAATGTTTATTCTCCATACTAAGAGTCTAAAGCAGAGCTGTTTAACTGTAATTCAACCACAGTGACTAGGAGAAAAGGCCAGAGTGGAACTTATTTCAGACCAGGAATTACACTCAGTCTAACCCAGAGGTGGGAACAAGTCACCAAGCTGCAAGAAACAAGTAGGTCTCAAGTCTTGACGCTCGAGTCCCGAGTCAAGTCCCAGGTCAGTACATATAAGTCTCAAGTCGAGTCCCAACAAATATGACAAACATAATGGTACACAAGAAGAGAAGTCCAACAGAACATGAAAATCATTTTCAAAGTACTATTAAACTTAATAAAAAATTATAATTGAAGATTTTTAATGATGTTTGGCAGCATCAGGAGCAAAGGAGTCAAATGAAAACTAGCTTAGCAAACTTAAAAACAACCACTATCAACTGAATTTAGACGACAACAGAAACCAACAAGACCGAGCTGAACAAAGTTTACAGAACAGACAGCAAATGATGATGAATGTATGAAGCTGAAATTTGCTTCTTCAGATTTTCCATTCCACCTTAAGTGGGGCAGCAGTCAGGCTCTGGAATACTGCCACACCATTTAAGGTGGAATGACCAATTCCA